GATTGGCACTACTTCCACAAGCATCCATTCCCCTCACCACCAACACTCTCTAGTAACTGCCTACACAGTATACAAGATGCACTGTAGAAATTCACTAAGGCTCCTTAGTTAGCATCTTTCAAACCCATGACCGTCTAGAAGAACAAGGGCTGCAGGACATGGGAACACCAGCAGCAGAAGTTTCTCTCCTAACCACTCACCATCCTGACTTGAAAATATATCACCATTCCTTCAGTCGTGTTGGGTCAAAATCCTGGAACTCCCTCTCTGGTAAATATTGTGTCTAGCACACAACAAATGGACTTCTTGAAAACAGCTTACTGTGATCTTCTCAATGGCAGTTAGAGTTGAGTAATAAATGCTGGACAACCCAGTGAAGCCCACAGCCCCGGAATGAATTAAAAGAAAACAGACCAGAAATGCTCAGCAAGTCAGGCAGTATCAGTAGAACAAGAAACAGAGTTAACCTTTCAGGTTGGTGACCTTTCATCAGAACTGGGAAACTTTGAGGTGGAATGAGATTTGAGTGAGGGGTGTTTGAGGCAAGGACAAAGCAAGGTCTGTGATCAGGCGGAAGACTGGAGAGATGGAATGGCAGAGGAGTTAGTTCTCTAGCGTGAGAGGAAATAGCAACGGGGAAATGAAAGAAACAGGAGATGCACCTGGAACAGGTAAATTGCTGTCAGAAAGCAAAAAATAGAGAAAACTGAAACATGCAAAGAGTAAAACAAACCAAAACAATAACATTTACAGTCGGAAATTGTTAACCTCTGTTTGGAGCTGGCTGTAAAGTGCCAAATCGAAAGGTGAGGTGTGGTTCCTCAAGCTGAGCTTCACTGGAGCAGTGAAACAGAGAAGGCCTCATCCCATATCCAACTGTCCCTCTCATCCCCGCCTCCTTGACCTGATACAACCTGTCTATCTTTTCTCCCACCTATCCACTCCTCCCATCCCACTGACCAATCCCCATCACTCCCTACCTGCACTCACCTATCACCATCCCACCTGCCTTCCCCAGTCCCACCCCTCCTCTCTCTCTTTATTTCTGAGCTTCTTTCCCCCTCCCCATTTCTGAAGAAGGGTCCCGACCCAAAATGTCAACTTTCCTCCTCCCCTGATGCTGTCTGGCCTGCTGTGTTCCTCCAGCTCCACACTGTGTTGTCAAGGCCAAAGGTGTTAGCTGGAGAATAAGGTATATAATTAAAATGACAGGGCATGGAAAGCTCCAGGTTAATGTTGCAGACTGAACAGAGGGGGTTCTGCAAGGCGGCTGCTCAGTCTGTTTCAGTCTCCCCTGTGTAAAGAAAAACCCATTGTGAGCAGCATATACAATAAGGTGAAAGAAGTACATGTTTGACTTGGAAAGTGTGTTTAAGCTTTGAACGATGAGGAGTGAGGAGTTAAGGATGTGATGGGTTTCGGCATCGTGCTGGAGGAGACAGAAAAGGATCTGGCGAATATTGAAGCTTGTGGTGTGGAAGGTGGAGATGCAGAGAAAGAGAAAGTGAAAGGGTGGTAGCAGAAGGGGAGAAAATGTGGTGGATACAGTCAAGGACCCTGAAGACTACAGTGGGAAAGGGAAAAAGAACAGATGCATGAGACTGTATCATCAGAACCAATGCGATGCAATCAGAGATACTGGGAGGACAGAATGGAGTCCTTCCAAATTGTAAGCTGTAAGGAAGTGTAGCTGAAGTAGCAATGGGAATCAACATGAGCTTATTTTGAATATTAGCACGTGGTAACGATAGCGCGTAGTAACGATAGCGCATGGTAACAGAGAAATCAAGACGGTCTCCCTTCACAGACATTGCCAGATATGCTGAGTACTTCCTGCATTTTCTGTTGTTCTAAAATTGGTTTCTGTGCGCATTATAACCTCAAAGGGATAAAGATGTTGGCAATATTTTGAAATACTTCCCATACTTATACTAAATTTTTCTCTTTGCTGTTTTAATAGATATGTTAGTAGCAGATTTCAAATTAAAGTTATGGTCTCTGCAGAAACAGCAGAGACAGCGAGAGAGAGAGAGCTTTAGTGGGAGAACGTTAAACATTCAAATGACACTGTAATTTTCTGCATTTTAAGTGTTTCTCCTACATGAGCAACTCAGGTAATTAAATCATCAGCTATAGGTTATATTATTTGCTTGTATTCCATTTTCCTGTTAAAGTTGCCCTCTTAAAGAAATGTTGATCATAGCATTTTCTAAGTTTTGATCAAAACTCCGAAGAGAAATTGCATTCATACAACATGTCTTAAAGTGTTCCATATTCAATAGATTCTTTCTTTTAAGTAGTCACTCATACAAAAGCAAACATGGCCATCAATTTTCCTGGAGCCAGATCCCAGTAAGAAGAATGAGAAGTATTTCTGATGCTCTTTGTTGAGGGCATTGGATGAATGCTCAGTAATTTATATAGCAGCATGGAGTCCTGCACAGCCATTAAAATACTCAAAGGCCATGCCTTTGGGAGTGGAACTCCATCAAAATATCAACTCAGATTTATTGTGATTGGCTCCTGTCCTAAGAATTGCTGTCAAGAGAGTCAGTCTGAGACAACTAATACATGAACATTAGAGGGTGAGTATCCCCCACAGAGATTGGTCTGCCCAGGAGCTCTGGACTTCGATCATTAGTGGTGCTGATATCTGTTTGCCTGATGAACAGGAGTACCCCAAGACAAATACTTTGTTGTAATCTGTGCAGTCCCAATTTTCTCTTGACAGCCTCAAATGTGGTATGCAGTTCTTGATCTCAGCAGGATGTGAGGCTGAGTGGGCCTCCAATAGAATTCAAATGCAACTTTAGCATTCATTTCAAGAGGGCTAGAACACAAGGGCAGGGATGCAGCACTGAGGCTTTTTAAGGCTTTGGTCAGACCACGTCTGAAAAATTGTGAGCGGTTTAGGGCTCGGTATCTAAGGAAAGATGTGCTGACCTTGGACAAGGTCCAGAGGAGGTTTACAAGAATGATCCCTCGGATGAAGGGCTTGTCATATGAGGAGCGGTTAAGAATTCTGAGCCTGTGTTCGATGGAGTTTGGAAGGATGAGGGAGAATCTGACTGAAACTTAGAGACTACCAAGAGGCCTGGATAGAGTGGACATGGAGAAGATGTTTCCACGAGCAGGTGAGACTAGGACCTGAGTGCACAGCCTCAGAGTGAAGAAACGACACTTTAGATCTGAGATGAGGATGAATTTCTTCAGCCGGTGGGTGGTTAATCTGTGGAACTCATTGCTGCTGAAGGCTGTGTAGGCTAAGACATTGAGTGTATTTAAGACAGAAGTAGATTATAAGGTGATCAAAGGTTATGAGAAGAAGAATGGGATCGAGAAACGTACCAGCCATGATTAAATGGCAGAGCAGACTCGATGGGCCAAATGGTGTAATTCTGCTCCTATATCTTATGGTCTAATACAGAATCTTAGCCTGCAATTCAACTGACTGAATTACATACAGTCACAGTCATCGAGAACTTATTTATTCAAAATAACTTGTTTTGCCAAAATCTATCACTTATCACTATACTGTGAAAATGTAGGGCACCACCATTTTATGTAGATTCCTGCATATCTTGACACTATACATGATGTTACACAGAGGGAATGATGTTACATTATGTTTCATTATCTCGTTTGTCACATTTTCAGGTGAAATTAACTGTTTGATGATTTAGAAACAGATTACTTGTTTTCATTGACTATATTAAAGAAACACAGCCAGCGTGTTTGTCCGTCCTGTAAAGTTTTACTATTGATTTGGAGTTGTTACAGGGGATAGGGTAGCATTGTGGTTACATTGCTAATAACCTATAGGCCTCAACTAATGATCTGGAAACATCAGTTCAAGTCTCACCACAGAAGTTGAGAAATTTAATTTCAGTGTTTTAAATGAATCTGGTATTAAAAACAAAACTGGTATCTGCAGCGCTTGTAAAAATCTAAACCAAAAATGCTAGAAAAACCAGCAGGTCTTGCAGCATCTGTTCTGAAGAAGAGTCACAGAATTTTCCACAAATGCTGCCAGACCAAGGTCTTCTGCAATATTTTCTAATTTTCTTTCAAATCTCCAGCAGCAGCCGTATCTTGCTTCTGGTTGTAAAAACCTATCTGGTTTAGTAATAATCTTTTACAAAAGAAAGTCTGCCATCCTTGACTGATCTCGCCTATGTGTGTCTCCAGACCCACAGCAACGTGGTTGGCTCCTTAGCACTCTCCAAAAAAGCCTATCAAGAAACCCAGTTGTATTGAAGAGTCTAGCAATGGCCTAGTGGTATTATCGCTGGACTGTTAATCCGGAGACCCAGATAATATCCTGGGGAACTGGGTTTAAATCCCTTCATGGCAGATGGTTTGAATTCAATAAATATCTGGAATTAAGAATCTAATGATGACCATGAATCCATTGGTTAATTGTTGGAAAAACCCATCTGGTTCACTAATGTCTTTGAGGGAACGAAACTGCCATCCTTTACCTGTTCTGGCCTACATATGACTCCAGACCCACAGCAATGTAGTTGACTCTTAACGACTAGGGATAGGCAATAAATGCTGCCTAGCCAGCGATGCCCTCATCCCGTGAATGAATAAGGAAAAAATAAGCTCCAGCCCTGTCACCTTCTCAGGGCATAAATATCAGAATTTGTCATGTGAACGATAAAAACCAATTGCTACCTCATTGCTGTATAACATACTGATTTTGAGTAGCACATTATTATGATCAACCTGCTGCAATGGCTTTTTTTCTTGGACTTTGTCAAATTGATACAATAAATGTGACGATCTACAAGCAAGAAATGTTGCAAACCTAACAGCAGCTCAGACAGTATCACTGATTTTTGCATTTTATTCACATAAAATCCTGTCATTAAAGGTCACTTTTACAGATCTTTTAAATGTTTTTAAAATAAAAAGTTGCTGAAAGGATATTTTCTATATTCATGCCAATTGTTTTGCCAACTTGATATCATGTTCTCTTCATCTTGTTCTTCCAGGGACCACAGATGATCTTCAGTGCAGCTAAGGACTTGGGCCAATTATCAAAGCTGAAGGTATCAATATAAATGTACTTGGCATGGTTTAGAATGCTTATATTCCATATTGCCCTCCCTTATAGAAATCTATACCTTTCATCCATACATCATGAACTAACAATTGAATTTCTTATGTGAGTCCATGCTGTATACAGTTAAAGCTCACACAATTTCTATCGTCAAAGCTCACACAATTTGAAGGATTCCCAGTCTGAATTATATTCATGTGTATAATTGTTTTGAAATGATGGGGATTAGACTTTTGTAAATGATAATTCCTACACTCTCATCAAAAAATATTCTCTGGAGTATTATGGAAGGTAAATTCCTCATTGAAAATAGAAACAACTGCATTTTGTTTTTAAAAGTGATGCAAGGATTCATTCATCCCAAGATCCAGACAGAGCTGTTGGGAACAAAAACAGAAGTTGCTGCAAAAGCTCAGCAGGTCTAGCAGCATCTGTGAAGAAAAAAAATCACAGTTAACGTTTTGGGTCCATTGATCCTTCCTCAGAACTATTAATAAATCGGAGCTCCTTCTATTTATTTTACATTGACAGAAAGGCAGAACACAGTTACACCCAGGGACAGTGATTATAAACACTTTTACAGGTATTATACAGGAAATTTGAACTTTTTGATGTGTGCCCATGCTGTCACACTGAAGTTTGACACACATTAAATAGCTCCATTCTTTATCAAATACTGTTGCTATAACAACCTGTTCAAATGTATGCAAGATATTGCATTAATTTAACAAATATATAATACATCAGCTTTCATTAAAAATGTTCCGACTAAAAGAATATATATCCTGAATCTAAAGTGCTGAATTTTTCAGTCCACAAACCCTAATCATTACATTAAAGGTTATCTAATACCGTAGACTCTTTAACAGTAGTCAGTAATTTGTTGGTATGATTCGTTACTTAGGTTCTGGCAAACTGATCTCATTGAATAATTTCTCCATTAGGTCACTTTGAAATGTCTTCTTTAATATCCTTTTCAAACAGGATCATGTGATTCGGGAAGAGGTCAAAAGTCTCAGTCCACGTCAGTGTGCTATAATGGAAGTAGTGTTGGCTACAATAAAGGTAATTTTATATTTTCTGGATTCTGACTGGGCACAGCTGCACAACTGCATTGATGTTTCCCTAGTCAATTATGACAGTGCAAAAGGATTTGGAGAAAGGAACACAAGAATATTTTTCTCACTGGCAATGGATTAATCTTCAGTCTCCAAATGAAACTCATCACACACTGACATTGCACAAGCTGTCAATAGATGCAATGGTCCTGGGTTGTGGCGCCAGATGGGTGATAGTGAATTTACTGCTCATTTTGTGTCCTGACCGACTTTCATTTCAATTACTGCAAAGCTAAGTCCAATTTCACCACTGTAGAATTCTTCAGTTCGGTTATAGATGGCCAGTACCCAGGACGGAGTGCAGTGTTCACTGAGTTATTATTTCACTAAGAAGCTAAATGACATTCTGTTACAATACAGTGACTTCTGTGATGATTTGAACTAATAGTGTCAACATACAGCCCGGCAGAATTTTTAAAAAATTCTGCTTGTACTAGTTTGTGAAAAATTCTTTCTCTATTAGATCTTCAAATTATTAGAACTCGACCTACATCCTCCATATGTAAATTTTTTTGACCAGATGATAGTACTTACCCTTTATTTAATTCATGCATTAAATCAGCTCAAATGTATAACATTATTAAACTGCTTTATTCCCGTGAGCTGCTACCCTTCCTTAGGTCAAAGCCACCTTTAGACTGGGTCATGTTAAACTATAATTCTGTTCTCATTGCTGTCCGTAAATGGAAGATTGGAAGCAATAGCATGCTGAAAGTTTTAGACACTGGCTTCCCTCAGCTTCAGGTTGCTTGCTGTAGCGATGATTTTGTGGTAGAAGTCCTGAGTTTAACCAGGAACATTAAAAGACATAGTAATCCCTCTCTCACAGTGTTGCTGACAGGGTTATGTATGCTCACTGGTAAGAAAGTAAAGTTAATAGGGACTCAAAATCTGCCTAATGGTTTGGTTGGGGGTGGGGGGGGTGATAGCCTAGTGGTATTACTGCTGGACTGTTATTTCAGAGACCCAGGTAATGTTCTGGAGACCTGGAAGATGATGGAATTTAAAATTGACAAAAAAAAAGTCTGGAATGAAGGGTCTAATGATGACCATGAAACAATTATGGGCGTTGTGTTTCTTCCGACATTGCTGTGCATTCCTCAAGATGGCTGATCAGCTGGGCATGGTCTGGTCTCTCAGCCTCCATGGCTGGTCTTGTGAGGAAGAAGACATGCCACCTGTGCGCCACCCTGTCCAATAGGTGTGCCATCTCCTTGTCCACACAGAGGGACTGCTGATTACCCCTGTTTGCCCTGTCTGAGCCGAACGTTAGCCACTGTGCAGGACAGCTGTGGACTGACAGTGCTAGCTCGGGTGCACGATGGTCTTTTAAAGCTGGAGCCTATGGCAGGGATGTGGATTGATCCCAGATAGCCAGTGAGTGGCAGGTTGTTCCAGAAATGGAATACCTCCGATAGGGATGGGACTGCCAGTTAATGCGGTGAGTTTGGTAAGATAGAATGAGATAACTCTCACTCAGCTCCACCAAAGGGCTCAATCCATCAAACTCAACGTGACTCACACTTAGTCAAAAAGTAAGAGTCACCCCTATTTCAGTGAACCTCCCCAGTATGTGGGAACAGGAGTTGGTGCCTGTCATCAGTAATCCAGAATAAAAGATGAAAGAAGGGGCCTGAGTAAGGCAGGAATCATGATTAAAACATCAAGCAGCTTCCTCAATTTCCACTAACATATTCATAAGGCAGAGCATATTACTACATCGCAGAGCCTGTTAGCATCTATTTCCTCCAGTTTTATGGAACTCTGTCTCAGGCCGTGAACTGTTGACTTCACCTGCCGTTATCTGCACAATTGTTTCATGGTCATCAATAGACCTTTAATTCCAGATTTTTATCGAATTCAAATTCCACCATCTTCCGGGTCTTCAGAATACTGCCTGGGTCTCTGAAATAACAGTCTGTCATAATTCCCCTCCTGTGCTGTACATTTAAGGTCGACATTTCGAGTCTGATAATCCACACATTCTCAATATTCATTAAAACGTGTGGGATTACCTGCATTCTGTTGGTTATGATAGTAGATCATCAGAAGTATCCAGCTGGGAGTCGATCCAAGGAGTTTGCCCAAGTTGATGCCTGTGATAGTTCTTCATGAAGCACTAAGTCTTCATCTACATGATGAATGTGAAATGATTTTAAATGCGACAGTTAATTGAGTTCATTGTAAACTAATTTGATAGAGTAGCATTAACGAAAGGTGTACACTCAGCAATGGCACTGTGAAATTGATACACATTATCAGTTCCTCAGCCCCTCGAAATGGGCAGACTCTTTGCATCCAGTTGGGGAGCCCTCCATGATTTTACCATCAGCTCCCAAACCCACCCCATCCACTGTCACCCAGATGCTGATAAAATCTTGGTCCTTATCAGACAGATATCAAAGCACTTATATGAAATAGAAACAGTGGTAGGCCATTTGGTCCTACAGTTCTGCTCTGCCATTCATAGCTGACACGTTTGTGTTCCGAATTCCACTTTCCCATTTATCCTCAATGTCCTTCTGTCTGTTGCCTCACCTATCAGGAGTCTATCTAAGCCCAACTTAAAAATATTCAATCCCTACTTGTCACATCTCACCGGCTTTCCTTTGTCCAATCTGCCTGTTTTTGAGTCAAATTGAGGAAAGCTGGGAAGCAGGATGATCTTGGAAATTGGATTTTCCTTTGGAAATAAAGGTGAATAGATATGCTCATGTCTGGATGGATTTATTGATGTTCCTGTGGAAAGCCATCACATTTTTCTTTATTTGATCCTTGAATAACAGAGATTAGAAACATTGGAAAAGTGCTGCAATGCTGGGGTGGCACGGTGGCTCAGTGGTTAGCACTGCTGCCTCACAGTGCCAGGGACCTGAGTTCGATTCCACCCTCGGGCAGTTGTCTGTGTGGAGTTTGCACATTCTCCCCGTGTCTGTGTGTGTTTCCTCCCACAGTCCAAAAATGTGCAGGTTAGGGGGATTGGCCATGCTAAATTGCCCATAGTGTCCAAGGATGCGTCGGTTAGGTGGATTAGCCATGGGAAATGCAGCGTCACGGGGAAGGGGCAAGGGATGGGTCTGGGTGGGATTCTCTTTGGAGGAGCGGTGTTGACTTGTTGGGCCAATTGGCCTGTTTCTGCACTTTAGGAATTCAATGATTCTGAAAATATAAGGGCTATTTAAATGGCCCTTACGATAACTGTACATGATATGATTATGAAAAATTGTGCTCAACCAGCCTCCTTTATATTGTACCAGAATAAAATCACTTATTTAGCAAGAAAATTGAGCCCATATTTGAAAATCTTTAATTGTTCCAAGATTGTTTGTTTATTTTCCAAAAGTAAAAGTAGACTTAGTGAGAGATGCAACATTCACTGTTTGGGGTTGAATACATGAATAAATAATCCTCTTTAGTTAAACCTATGACAGGATGGATACTCATTCATCAAATTGTTTACGTACTCAGGGATTAATAAAACACATACCCGTTCCTTTTCACAAAACACACTGATCACAGGCATTTCAGGAGGCAAACATCCCTGTTCAGGGCCCATGTTACTGGTGCCATTGGGAATCAGTAGTATTTACTGGTCTCCATTCCCATGGTACACTGATCATTCATTGATCCAGTATGACTGTTTTTTATCCCTCTAGGGTTTCAGTTCTCTCTCATCATTGTGTATAACATTTGTGTGGATAACTGTATGAACACAAATGTGGAACAGCACCTCCCCTTCCAGTTAGACACTTAACAACCCTCTGGACTCAACGTTGAATTCAACAACTTCAGACCATGGTCTTTGTCCTCCATTTGGATTTCTTCCCCCCACTCCCCAACGCCAGTCTATATCTTGCTCTCATATTTTTGCTTTCAAGGCCTTTATTCTGCTATTCACACTTAGTATGTATTAGTGCTTTATTTCTTTATGCCACCGTTATGATACCTTTTGCCTCTTGTTCCTTGCCATCTTTGTTATTTAATCACCTTCGAACAAACCGTGGCCTTCTCTTTTGCTTCATTTGATTCTCCCCTCTTTTTAACTTCAGCATAAAATCCATCAAATTTCTCCCTCTCTTCTGTTCCAAACATATTTCAATTAGTCAACCTAAGAAAAGTTGTGTGAGTGATCATTGAGACCCATGATGATGACTCAACAGTGCCACACAGTTTTATTGAAATTGTTGCCAAAAACAGCAAACTCAAAGAAATACGTTCAGGGATCCTTTATCGTACCAAAATCTGTCTGAGGTCTTCCTGTTAGTGTGACATTGTTTCCTGTCACATCTTAACAGAAATGTTTTGTGAATAAGGCACAGAGGAGGTGTGGAAAATCAAAGGGTTGTATTCTCTTGTGTAAACCAGTGCAGGGAACTTGAGGCCACCATAACTAAATTCCTGGTTAAATACGAAAAGCTCTTCCCCCTAGGTTCTTGCCATTGTTCTAAAACTTTGGTCCTTGTTGTTTCATTAGAATTTATGTGTTTGAGTTTGCACATTGCTTTACAGGTTGTAAGGCAAGGAGGAGAAGGATTTATAACAACTAGTAGACATGCTAAAAAGATCAGCGTAAAATAAAAGTGTGAATAGGAACATAGCTTTGTAATCCTGATGACAGCATTCCATTCATGAGTCTACAACAGTATTTTCCCACTTGTATCTGATCGGAAAATAAACTTGATAAGTGTTGTTGAGACATGATGATAGTCATAATCTCTAGAACAGCACCATAAATGTGGGCAAGTAAACTTCATTAATAGATTCCACATTGAAAAGCAAGATCCAGTGTATGTTTGATATATTTAACTTATAGCAAGTTAATATAAGTTGGATAATGGGTAGCTACTGGGTAATGAGAAAAGGTCATTTCCAGACACATTATGAAATGGGCAATAACATCTTACATTTATGCGGTGGCTTAAAATGTAGAGAAATATCTCAGATGCC